CTTGTGACTCTGCTTACATATATATATACCCTGTCCTTTTATATGCCTGGGATGAATTCCTAGCAGTGATATTACAGAGTGGAAGCATCACTGGTCTTCTCTTTTGCTTAGAAAGGCCCAAGGAGAGCTATTAGGAGACTGGAAATGGGATGGGCCATTGTGCAGAAATGCCTCTGACTTGGATCATTGCCTGTCTTGGTCAAAGAAGGAGGAGAGAACTTGTGAGGTTGCGGGTGGGAGAGGACGTGAAGGAGAGAGTGTCAACCCCTAGACAACAGCCTTCACAATGATGGAGACCATTGCTTAATGGAGAAGTTACATCACTGCTATGACCATATGACCAGCACAGGGACCATCAGAAGCACCTGCAGCCCCGCCCCCGCGTCGGAGCACCTGCAGTGACTAGCGGAGCAGGAAGTGGTCAAGGGTAGCACAGCTGACTTCTGTCGGGACCCGTGTTCCCCCTAATTTTTTTACTCTGAAATCTGTGCTGGGTGTTTTGCTGCAGTTCTGAGCCCTGGTTCCCATTAGTGACACCTGGGGGCACTGAAAATACTGGCCCATGCTGCCCCCACCCCCTGCACCAACCTTATCAGAGTCTGGGGGGACCCAGCACCAGGAGAGTCCCAAAGGTTCTGATGGGTCCAGTGTGCCCTGAAGTTGGAAACCACTGCTATGGGGCCATGCCTGAGTCCTTGCACATCTATTAGAGCTTATTTCTGGTGTTTCCATTCTGCTTTATTGATCCATGTGGCCGGTCTTATGCTAGGTTAGGTATATGTTTTTGATGGTACTTGAACTATGCACTCCAGACTTCACTGTCACTGTGGAGAGTTACACGTCCTTTCTGGGCTGTCAAGTGGCAAAAGCAATAGGCAGGAAGAGCAACCACTCAAACGTGCCCCGGCACCCACTATTCTCTGTCGGCGTCCCAGGCACAACGGGCAGTGACCGTCGGAAGAAAGATCCTTCCCTGAGATTGTCTCCACGGACCCTTGGAGCCAGGGTTTGAACTGTGAGGAGATTGCTTCTCTTGGTTAAAGGAAGGCAGCCTTCTCCCAAGATCTCTCCCCGCTTATCTTTGGTATTTCAGTGATTGACAAACAGACAAAAATATGTTTATTTAGGGACTATCTATATTGAAAACTAGACATGGGATTTTTTTTTCTCTGTCAACATGGCAGTAATATCGGCTGTTTGATCAAAAGGAGAGGTATTTTTCCATTCAACCCTGAATGCTGAAAATCCTCCCGTCTACATCAGGAAGACATTTGGTTTTATTGATCATGGTCGCTGAAGAGCTTTAAACTCCTGTAGCCAGGCAAGGAGAAGGTTGGTTTTCTCTTTGTGGTAAAAGTTTTTAGCAGAAAACCAGATACAGAAGTTATTTGTCTTTAGACAATCCCGTAGAGTCAGAACCAACCAAACATGTTTCAGTTCTGTTCAAAACCAGTACACGAGTGGCCTAACGCAGTGGTTGGCAAACCGTGGCTCGCAAGCCACATGTGGCTCTTTGGCCCCTTGAGTGTGGCTCTTCCACAAAATACCACGTGCGGGTGCACACGTGCAGTGTGATTGAAACTTGCGCAGAAGTCGGTTTTCGGAAAGGAGATAGATGAAAGTATACAACAAGTGTGGATGGGAGAGTTGGAAGGGGTCGACCTCAGCGAACATAACTCAATCAGATTGAGGACGTTTTTAGCAAAGGCCAGTTTAGGAGTACCCAAATTAAGTTAATAACAATGTGCCTACCTATATAGTTTAAGTTTAAAAAATTTGGCTTTCAAAAGAAATTTCAATCATTATACTGTTGATATTTGGCTCTGTTGACTAATGAGTTTGCCAACCACTGGCCTAACGTATCTCTTCTAGGAATACTAATTTTATTGTTCAAGACATAGCTTATTTCAAGAAAGTGCTTTCTTAACAAGCGAAAAACATCCACTTCCCTGATTTTAATTGATAAGAAGTGTTAAAACTTCCCTACCTATCTGAGAAATTATGAGACACCCACTTAGGTCTGCACCCCAGAATCCATCGCCATAAATCAGCGGTTCTCAACCTGTGGGTCATGACAATGAAAATACATCCTGCATATCAGGTATTTACATCCGATTCATAACAGTAGCAAAATTACAGTTATGAAGTGTTATGAAGTAGCAACGAAAATAATTTTATGGTTGGGGGTCACCACAACATGAGGAACTGTATGAAAGGGTCGCGGCATTAGGAATGTTGAGAGCCACTGCCTTAAATGGTAACTTACCATCGTACCTGAAAATCTACACATCTCGGCCCCTCACTGCAAGAAAATCTTCTCTCATCAATACGTACGAATGCAAGAAAGCCTATATTTGGATCAAAAATGAAAAACGAACACCAAGAACTTTTATAGTGAAGCAGACTTAAGTGAGTTTTGTTGTTGTTGTTGTTGTTGTTGTTGTTGTTGTTGGCATACCTTCCCAGCCTCTTCAAATCTAAAGGAGATTTGGCATTTTGCAGCCAATCTTACTGCAAAATGCCAAAAGGTGACTTTGTTGAGTTTTTCCTCGCTTTTTGGTCTGTCCTTAGAAATTCCGGTTTCCAACTTAAGGGAAGGAGCCAAACCCCATAATCACCACTCAGACACATGGGGGTCGCTCCTTCCAGAACAGCCGGGACACCACAAACTCCTTGTAGGGTTTTTTTTCCACGTGAAAACAAAGGTCCGTGCAGAAACGGCATCGCCAAACGAAGGGGTCCCCGAAATCCGGGATAAGCTCTTGCGCTGCTTTCAGAAACGCGTGCCCCTCCAAAACTCTCTGACATTCGCTCTTTGGCGAAGTCACAAACACGCAGAGGACAAGCCCTGTGGTTCCCTCCAGAGAGAAATGACGGCCGGGGCCTGCAGAAATGGCCACCCTCCTTTTGTGGAAGGGAAGCTGTGCAAATCTGATAAAGTAAACGTTTCATAAAACCAACGGCTGTTTAAATCGTAGCACTAAATTGTTTGTATATAAATATTACCCTTTATATTCCACTGGAGCTTTATGTAGATGAACACATTACGTTAATGACCCGCGCCTGCGCAGGGAGCGGGGGCGGCGCCGCCCTCGCCGGCCAGATGGCTGCCTCTTCTTGCATGAGATTGAAAGATGCTCTTCATTCACCACGGTGCTTCCGAGGCAGATTAATGTCGCCGGCTAAATTGCTTGTGTTTTTGGAATAAAATTTAAGGAGAACTTTTTAAAGCAATCGGTGTCGCAGGTTCTGGGGCAGATTGCTCTCCAGGTAGGGCAGGCTGGTGCGAATGCGCGGTAATTAACGGGCAGGGCTCTGTGGTAATTGACTGCTTCGGGAGAGGGGAAATGTAATGACTCCTTATTAATCATGAAAAGAAACGTGCGGCTCGGCGGCCCCACAATAACCGCTCTCACGCGGAGAAATGTTAATTAATGAAAAGAACAATGATGTAAGAAATTAGCTGCATAATGCTCGCTGCCGATGGCGGTGGGGCTTTAAACGCGTTAGTTAGAGTGGAAACCACAGCTCGGTGCCTTAAGTATCGGACACACGTAGCCTTGCACCGCCGAAATGCAGGGAGAAAAAAACAATCTTAAAGTGCCTCTGTCATCTTTGCTTGAAGAAGCAGACACACTCAGCCAGTGCTTATGTATTTCAGAGAAAATGGGCTCCCCTCCATCTCTGATCCGGCGTCTAAAGCCACCCAGCGCAAAACAAGGCAGCTTATTAATGTCACTTAATTCCAACACTATGGGTCACGCTGATTGCGGAGGACGGGGGTGGGGGGGGGGGGGGGAAGGATGTCCCCAAAACTGAAAGAAAC